AATTAAAGATTTTGAAAATGTTCTTCATATAATAGTAGGTTGGATAAGAAATAAAAAATTAACATTAAACATAAACGAATATTTCAGTAATAGAACCTTAAGTTGATAACTGATTGATCTAGGGAATCGATTAAAATTAGTTTTAAAAATGCAAAGAAGAAAGTAAACGAACCCCCTCTCAGTAGTCAAATTTTGAGAAATTGGCTTCTCTCAGAAAATTTCGAATAACTCCAGAGATACACTGTAAAAAATTCCTTATAAAATTCCTGGATTGTATGAAAAAAATACATATTTCAATCCTTTATTAAGGTACGATGAAGCTTTCAACAAAAAAAGAAAAACGTTTTATTCTTGATCACTCAAAAACCTTGTCAGTATGTGCAATGCATGAAATATTAATAAAAAATCATTGTTTTTTCATTATTTGGATTGTGATATTAGTAAGAACAAAGTTAAAATCGTAAAAAATTAACTATCTGATATTTATGAATAAGGTATCTAAACTTTCTGAAATTTATATATATTTTTACTAAATTTTTAATGAATAAAAAGAAGGAAAGTGGAGTGTACCAAAAAAATGAAATGATGTATAAAATATTTTGAAACAAGTGGCTGGGTGGCGCAGTTGGTTAGTCGGTGGCCTTCTGAGCCCAAGTCTGCGAGTTCGATCCCCGGCCCAGACACCGGAATTTCGGGATGCAGAAAATCCTCAGCGGCCATGTCGTATGATTATGCGGCATGTAAAAGATCCCTGGAGTGCCTTATTAGCTCTTGGCATTTCCGGCAAAATTAAATTCCTAGTGCACTTTAGCATCCAAATAGAGTCTCGGTGCTGCCATCTGGTGTGGCAGAAACTAGACGTCCAAATTAACATGACCAACGGTATCTCACCCATCGTGGTGGTCCTGAAAGAGTGGATACCACCTCTGGAGAACGCACTAGGTCTGCTCATCGGCAAGACCGATTGTGCAGCTCATTGGAAATAAAAAAAATAAAAAATATTTTGAAACAACTAATGCCAGTAAGAATACTAAGTTTGTTATTCATTTTACTTTTACTAATTCTCATCATTCTTACAGTTTGTAATTTACTATAATATAGTAAATTTAAAGGATTTTTTTGTACTTTTTGACTGAATTCATTATAATTATCATCACTCGCAACAATAGAAACTGTAATAGTAACTGCAATAAACTTTAAATAGGCTTTAAACAATATAAATGAGAAAGCGATACATTTTATTGTTACAGATTATTACAGCGTTTTTCATTTTACTTTTATTTTCATCTCTTATGTTTTTTTTCATTACTATAATAAAAATTTAAAGGATTTTCTTGTAATCTCAGCCCGAACTTTTCTTAGTTACCATAACCCTTATCAATAGAAACTGTTACGTTTTCTTTAAATAGGTTTTAAACAATATTAATGAGCGTGCAATAATTTTTATTGTTACAGAACATTACATTTTGAATTACTAACGATGCTTAAAGATTAGCATAGCCATGAATATTCTGGAATTAAACTTAATTTAACCTACAATATTAATTAAAGATTGAAAATTTTCAATTTCTAAAACTGAACCCCCATTCTTATTACAAATATTTTATTTACTTAACTATCATTGGCTTTTAAAAATTATGTGATCATTTTTTTTTTAAAAATTGAATTAAACAATTATAAATTGCATATTATTCAGTATGTAAATATGTTTCTTACAAGAGTTATCAATGAAGGGTTTGTCCGTATTTTAAAATTAGGAAACACCAACTTTTGTAATACAATATTGTCTCTTCTCGCTAAAGAAAAAAATTAGCAAACGACATCACATGCAGTGGGTAAAAACAAGCAATCGATGTTATCGGCAAGCTCACAATGACGCTCCTTATTTACGCAAGTGGATAAATACAGCGTAAAGAACGAATGCCAAAAAATACAGTTACATGAAAACAAATCGTGAAACAATATTTATTTATTCAGCAGTCAAGGATCAAGATAATGATGGATAGCATTATTCTCAAATTGTATTTCAATATTTATTCATAATATGTGTTTAGGAATCTACAAATTGGCAATTTTAGAAGGAACTGCGAATCATTAGTGCATAGTCATTTAGATATTCATGCTTACAATGATGATTTGAGTATTCATTAAATGATAGTAAAAAAACTAGACAGAAAGTAAAGTAATGACAGGAAAATAAAGAATATTATCTACTAATGTCTGGGATAAATATAGATGTTACGGTCTTAACGGCCCATTATGAGCTTTCAGTTTATACTGTTCTTACTGTTTTAGCTTACTTTAACCCTTCAAAGCAGAATTTTAATTAAACATGCTTTTCGTGATTTTTTCACTATTTTGTATTATTTTACGTTAAAATAAGTGAAAAATATTATGTTTAGCATTTTAATAATATATGACAATGAATAAAGGATGAGATACCAGTATTTTTTTTCTACGTTAAAGATTGAATATTCTAAACACGGCTCACTTTCGAACAATATATATTTTTAAAATTCTTATGTACTTAGATCAAAAGGAAAACGGTAATTTATCATTAAAATTTCTTTAATTTACAATTGAAAATTTTTTGAATATGAATAAAAAAATGCGAAATTTTTTTGGGGGGTATAATATTTTAGTACAATATAATTTTAATAATCTGACAGATTTTTTTAGTAACCATTAAACTGCTTTTTATAATTAAAAAGTACCAAAATGTATTTTTACTTCTAATTAGTGCACCAAAAAAAATATATATTGTGAGGGACATCGGTGTCATTTCTGCCTCAAAGGGTTAGCATATGTATATTATGAATTACAAATCTTGTCGATAGATATAATATGTAGATAGAGAGACTTTTATAATACATTATAAATACAAGCTGACTTAAACCAGACTGACATTTTAAAAATATATATAATTTGGTAACGGTTAACAGTTTACATTAAAAAAAAATCTTACTGCAAATTCTTTAGTCGGGCCATAAATTTTCCTCTTAGGAATCCTGGTTTTAGTTGACAATTTTTACGATAGATGGCTTACTTCGACATTACTTTCTCACATGTTTTTATCCTAAGAGTGATTTTATTCTGAGTTCTTCCTACGGTGAGAAAGTAAATAATCAAAAATTCGGTTTTAATCAACATTATGAAGTTATGCACAAAGCGAAAAAGCATATAACAGCACAATTGAAATTTTTTTAAAATATTTTTTTTTATTATTGCACTTAGTTACTTCGCCTATTTTTTAAACACCCTATTTTTTATCTATTCATTTCTGGTGAGTTTATTAACAGCACATAATTTCATGAATATTAGAGTCAACTTAACAGCTGTCTTCCAGAAATATTTCACTGAACAATCAAGCATGTGCTTAGCAATATATTCACAGTAATTCCTTTAAACAATTATTATTTTTTTAAATTTTCTATAATATTTTGCACGATAGCTACAGTTCGGTACTTAATGCACTTGAAACTAAAATATAAAACTGTTACAAATACTTTTAAATACAGAATTGTAGTTATAGTTAATTTCTGTTTCCTTTATCTCTAAGATTAATAACGTTTTAATAAGAGCAAATAGTATACTAAAGCTTTTTAAAAAAACATACTTAATGAATCAGTTGTTCCTTTTATATATAAGCGTTACATTAAAGCTAAATGGAAAAAAATAATCAGTTTTTTTTTGGGGGGGGGAAATCAGAAAAGAATATCAATTAAAAAATATATTTTATTTTGAAAATTCCTTTTAGTAATTCAGTTTTTTAACGGGAAAAAGAATTACCCCAGTTTTTTTCCATAAACGTATTTTATTATTATAAATCATTCTTGTAAACTTGCTACTCATCTCTGTACGCTTCTTCCGAGGGAAATGAGGGTGAGGGTTAGGGGAGGAAATGGAATTACTTTTAGACATGCAATTAAGACATTGTTCCCGATGTATTTTTCACGCTCAGTTGAATGAGACTAATCTCAAGATGATCGAACTAATAAAAATATAGCAATGCTGTTTCGATAGCAATGTGAGATGCGTAATCAGGTACAAATACAAAATTGCACTTTTTGTTCATAAAGTGCTTCTAGCGTCTAAATCGGTAGTTTTATCATCTCGGCATTGGTTTCTTTCAATTCAACGTGGAAAAAAGATATCAGAAAAAAGTTCTACTTTCATATCTATAGGAAATTTAATTCTCCTCTCAAATCACTCTCAAATTTCCCTCTTTAAAGGGAAAAGTGTATAGAGAAGAATGGCGAAGATTTCAGGTATCATAATCATATCAGAAAAAAAAGATATCAGAAAAAAGTCCTACTTTCATATCTATAAGAAATTCAATTCTCCCCTCAAATCACTCTCATTTCCTTCATTAAAGGGCAAAAGTGTATATAGAAGAGAAGATTTCAGGTATCATAAACATATCAGAAAAAAAAAATATATCAGAAAAAAGTCCTACTTTCATATCTATAAGAAATTCAATTCTCTCCTCAAATCACTCTCATTTCTTTCATTAAAGGGGAAAAGTGCATATAGAAGGGAAGATTTCAGGTATCATAATCATATCAGAAAAAAAAAGTTATCAGAAAAAAGTCATACTTTTATGTCTACAAGAAATTCAATTCTCCCCTCAAATCACTCTCATTTCCCTCATTAAAGAGAGAAGCATATAGAGAATAAGAGGAATATTTTCAAGTATTATAATCATAACAAGGCCTTTTATCCAAAAATATATTGGGTTTTATTTTTTCCGAAGAAACATCCTTTTCTCCTTATAATTACAAGATTTTTTTAAATTGAAATACTTTTAGAAAAGTTTTGCTTTTGTTAAATTTTTATAGGGTTGTTTTAATGTCTTTTTTTATTAAATTAGTACTTTATTTGAAGTATTCTTTTCCCTAGTTGCGTTAATCATTGTCATTGTGTATTCATTTCACTTAGTTGTAATTATTGATTATTTTCGTTGTATGCAAATATTTTAAACTGCTAATCTTATTTTTTAGGTTTATAGCGATTGTTCGTCCTCTCCGACCACGGATGTCAAGATTGGCAGCATATGCTATTCTGACAACTGTATGGATTGCTGGTGCTATTTTGTCCTGCCCTTCTATTTTGTATTCTACAACGATGACCTTCAGATATGCCGACCGAGGTCACAGGACAATATGCTACTTAGTATGGCCGGATGGTCCTGCTGGGCATTCATATTCCGATCACATGTAAGTATTTTTGTTTTTCTTATTGTTTACAAAAACTCAGAAAAAAATGAATTCCTATTATTTTTGTGCATAGATGCTCAAACTTACTTCATTTGAATGTACCTTACATTCAATCATCCATTAGTTAGCTGTCAATATCAAAACTTCACTTTATTTTAAAACTGGTGCTAAACAGTCGACACTTTTTTTGTTTTATCAATGTTTATCTAAGTAATCTCGTTATTTTGAACTGACCTCAAAAGAAAGGTGAATTTCTGAACAAAGCATTGGGTCAAACTAACATTCGTGAAGAAAGTTAAAAGAAACTTACCCCCGTTTAAGTAACATGGAGTGGAAAACCACAACAATTTTCCTCAGTTAATTCGAAGTAAAATGGATTCTAAAGCATGATCTGTTTACTTTTGAGGATAATTTATGTCAGTAGTATGGTCGGTGCAAGCAGGAAATAAAATTTTTATCGATCTGTCAACACTAGGATTTTTACATAGGTCACCTCAATGGGAAGCGAGCGCTCTATATTCTGAGACACTATGGCTCATATCGACGGGTTTTTATTTCGTTTTATAATCGTCGTTGAACAGCCGGCCCAGTTTTGAGTTCGCGACTACCAATGTTCAACTCCGTATCATTGTAATTTGAACCCAATCCAGAAGACAAGGAAACTCCTGGATTACTAATTTTTGCTGTAACAGCATAATCTTTAAATTTTTATTATAATTCTACTTTTCTAGGTGAACGTGTTCAAAATTTCTGTCATTTTAATTCTGCTTTGCTGCTTGCCCTGTAGTTAAGTTTAGAAGGTTACCATATCAGACATTACATTCTATTGGCAATTATCTAGATTATTTCACTTGTATAATTAACTGCGAGTGTTGTACCGTGATACGTTTTTTTTGTCGACTGTGAAATATTCGCTTTTCTGCATTATATAAGTTGAAAAAATCGGATTAGATTTGACTCCTTTTCTGTCAAATATTTTCTTTTCTTAGAGTCTGTGAAATATTCCATTTTCTACTTTATATAAGTGAAAAAAATCGGATTGGATTTGATTCCTTTTCAGCCAAATATTTTATTTTTTTACAGTCTGTGTAATATTCGCTTTTCTGCTTTATATAAGTGAAAAAAATTGGATTGGATTTGACTGCTTTTCAGCCAGATATTTTATTTTCTTAGAGTCTGTGAAATATTCGCTTCTCTGCATTATATATGTGAAAAAAATCGGATTGGATTTGACACCTTTTCAGCCAAATATTTTATTCTTTTAGAGTCTGTGAAATATTTGCTTTTCCGCATTATATAAGCGAAAAAAATCGGATTGGATTTGATTCCTTTTCAGCCAAATATTTTATTCTTTTAGAGTCTGTGAAATATTCGCTTTTCTGCATTATATAAGCGAAAAAAAACGGATTGGATTTGACTCCTTTTTAGCCAAATATTTTATTCGTTTAGAGTCTGTGAAATATTCGCTTTTCTGCATTATATAAGTGAAAAAATCGGATTGGATTTGACTCCTTTTTAGCCAAATATTTCATTTTCTTAGAGTCGCTGGACAGCCAACCTAATTTTGGGTTTACGACTACGGATGTTCAACTCCACAGCATTGTAATTTTGTACCCAATCCAAAAGACAAGGGAACTCCTGGGTCAATTATTGAACGAAATTTATCCTTGTGGAGGACTTTCTGTTCGAACTAACCAGCATTTGCGCTACACGAAAAGGAAAACACTAAAACCTCCCACGGTTAGTCTGACGGCAAGGAAACTCTAACTAATGATTTGTCTGTCACTTATGATATTTTACGTCAGTACTGTGGTTAGTGCGTGCCAGGTGTGGAATTCGTATCAATCAGTCATGGCTGGGATTCGTATCAATCAGTCATGGCTGGGATTCGTATCAACCAGCCATGGCTGGGATTCGTATCAACCAGCCATGGCAGGGATTTGAACCTGGTTCACCTCATTAGCCAAATACTGAAGGAAAAAAAAGAGTAGGAACGAAATGCAAGCTTTGTAAATGCTTTATGAATGCCGAAATATTTTCTTTAAAAACTAATTGTAAGGATTCCTTATTTAATATTTTTTAAAGTGTTAATGTATTTTCATTTTGATTTTATGTCCTCTAAATGAATTTTTTCGGGAACTATGATAAAACTATTTTTTCTACTTAATTGATATTGGAGGACAATTATGTCTTATAATCCATATTTCGGTTCATTTATTATACTCTTACTAGCTTTATATATGTGTAAATAGTCAAATGTACATCTAATATTCCTCTTACTTAAATAGTATGCAAGAGACACTGTTATTTATATATTTTTATTCACTATAGTGCTTGTAGTTTACCTTTGATTTGGTTAGGCATAACGAGCAGTTTAGATATGAGTAAATCGACAGTCACTGATATTAATTATGTTAAGTTATATTTTATTGCTTAGGTAAATCTTTAACCATTGGTCAACCCTGTTAACGTTTACATAACATTTCGAACTCAAATATCGGATAAACAAGTAATTACAAGCATTTTTTAAATCTGTATTTTAGTAGTTTATAATTGCTGGGAGCTGCAATTATAAAATGGAGGTGGTTCAGAGGACAGAGGTTTTGGCTCCCAATGATGTAACCCAAGTTCCAATCCCAGTTGTGGCCGGTTGATTTGAATTATACTCCTAACTCGCCTCGACAATAGAGCAGATGTAAAATATCTTCAGTGTGTAGAATCACTTTGCCGTTGGTCTAACCGTGGGAAGTTTTAATGATTTTGCTTTACAATATATGGATTAGTTCCATCAAAATGTCATTCTCGAAAGATTAGTTTGTACCAATGCTTGATGAAAGAGTCCTCTTGTCATGTGGGTTGGTTTTATAATTACAAGGTCCTGAAGAGGAGCGCTGATAGTCGTAAACTCAGAATTTGGTAAGCTATATGAGGCCAGTTATAAAGTAGAATTTAACTTCTGGGACGATGCATTATTTTTTAAATTAATATCATAAATATGAATTTTTTGTCTTACGAAGACCATTTTTATTATAGAAAATAAAATAAAGAGATAAGATCCAAAAACATTTAATATGAACAAGAAAAGTTTTCTGGTTTTCTCCAACTTTACTACCATAAAGTAGAGATAATGAGATTTCCTTCTGCACCTTTCCTCTGAGCATAAATTAGGTAGAATTCCAGAGTGGGGAATCCATTCCATTCCCAGAATGATCATTAACGAGGTGTGTTCCGAGAATTTGATAAGACACTAAAAAATGTTTACCTCATCTAACGTTTTTAGCGTAATACAGCTACAAGTTTTCGATTCAAATGGAAGCGAAGAATAAAGAACTAATTTCCTGTTGAGAAGATAAAAATGATGAGGCTAAGGAATTTTAGAGATTATACATAGTATTTTAGCGAAACTAGAATTAGTGAGGTTCACAATTCAAATAATTATATATTTATGAAACATAACGAAAATTAAATTTTTGGTTATACTACAACAAAAAATGCGTATAATACCTTCAGTATATGAAATATTGGAATTCCTTAGAATTCCTAGTTAGGGCGTAAAATGCCTAGGTATTTTATGGAATGGCAATTGCTTTTCGGAAAAGACTGTTGTTTCTTGTTTTAGAATTATTATATTGCCGAGCAGTCTAAGTCTCAGTAGCTCAGTGGTATAATTCGAATCTACAAAGCTGGAGGTCCCAGGTTCGATGCGGGACGCGAACTCTAATTCCCAATTTTTCTTATTTAATTCTATGAACATTCCAGAAGCTTCCGATACATTCAATTTACATCATTTCCTCTTTAGTTATTTCTAGGAAGCTTCAAGAACGTTCTTTGTCAGTATATAAGCGATCCCTTCATTGTAAGCAGGCAGTTCTAAAAAAAAAAACTCAAAAGATGCCAGAACAAAATTCTCAGAAAAATAACACAAGCAAGGTGGTTTATCCGAAATAAGAACATACATCACGACCTCAACATAGATTTTTTAGGTCATCATATTGCAAAGCTAAATAACCAATTTTTTGAGAAAACCATAAATTGCGACACCGCAGGATTCAATGAAATTTTTAATTTTGAAAACTTAAGAGAAGACATAAATCTCAGGCCGATGGCAGCTTACTATTGTAGTGACGTAATCTTATCCAAAATACAAACTATTTAATTTCTCTTTCACTCCAATTTGCATTCCAATTACCAGAAAGAACCACCTTAAAGACAACATTTCAAGACGGATGGGAAAAGGGCCGCTAACGGCCTCAGGCGCCCAGATAAAATTTGATGATGATGGTGATGAAACAGGCAGTTCTTAGTGCAGACCGGTTCTCGTCATTTGTACTTTCTTCGCTTTAATAAATTCATTATTTAAACCTCATCTTGTCATCTGTATTAAACCACTTTAACTTGACAATATTCTTTATCTAGTCATAATGCTGAAAGTTCATAGGATTTTCTATTAGATATTCTGTAAAATACCTATGCAATGTGGGTAATATTAATCGTTTTCTACTGCACCGGTTTTTATGTTCTTTATCTAGTAATAATATAGAATGTCTGTAGAATTTCTATAGTCATTCTATAAACCACTTATCCAATTCCATATTAGAATTATTATGTTATTTATCTAATCATAATATAGAATGTCTGACGAACTTTTTTTGAGTCTATATTAGTTTATTATTCTATAAAATACCTGGGCGATATGTGATGTTAATCATTTCTAACTTAACTGTTTATATTAGGCTTTAACACTCCATAGTGGTACTGATAATCAAAAATATAATCTGTGTTTAAAGTGATTGCACCAGACGCATTCAAAATCTTTTCAAGATATTTATGCAATCCGAAAACGAAGTTCAAGAGGGTATCAGGACGCTAAAAGCGCTTATTTTTCTCCGGAAAAATTAAGTTAAAGTTACTATTATGACTATCACCATTTTTTATGAAAGATTTTTGCCGTTCGGGCTTTTAACTTTTCCTTCTCAATAGCTATTAGAGGATAAAATATGACGTTTTGCATATTTTTTTCGGGAACGTTTGAGAAACATTCTGATATGAAAGTGTTATTTATCCAGACATCTGATTATGAGCTGTTTTTATGTAAAAGGTAAACATCTTTTTTTAGGACTTGTAACTCAGTTTAACGAAAATACTAACGGAAGATTTTATAATTATTGTTTTCTTGCAGACGCGTATTCCTATGGTGAAAGATGCTAAACTTGTTTTCCTTTTCTTTATTTACGAATTAGTGTTGGAGTTATTTTGCTGATGCTGTTGTTGTCGTAGGATTCTGTAGAGATGTGACTGTTCTTGTTTTCCAGTGGTGCCATCTATGGCCAAGGATTCAACTTCTGTGATGCCCTTACGTCGCAACTGTTTATAGGGCGGGCACATTCATACATTCATTCAATCATGCACAGATCGTGATTTTGATCTGAACCAAAAGACGATCAATCTCCAATCCAGCACCCCCAGAGGTGTAATTTGTTGTGGGATCATGGTTGACTTTGTGACTCGACAGAATTAACGTGTGCCAGTAACCATTTTCTACACGGGGATTCTGTCGCCGGGTAGATTCGAACTACCGTTCTCATGAGTTGGTGTTATTAAATAGTTTATTATCGTTAATCCCCCCTCTTTCTTCTCCTAAGTACGGCCTTGATTACATCCCATCGAAATTGCGTGATTAATTTTCATAAATTTTTATGTAAAACAGAAATGACTGCTAATTTTTCAATGAAATTCTAGTATTTTTAAATTTCCCGAAAAGTGTACCCGGGTTTGCCTTCCTAGGATTTACCTCCCTTCCTAAGATTTTTTTCTAGAAAATGATCATTTAAAAAAAAAGTACATTTATGACTTTTTAGGAATGATATCGTGTGCACATCTAAAATATGAATATTTTTAATTAAAGCAGACAGTTTCAATAACGAGCAATTCCGTCTTGAACAAACTCATGAACACTTTTGAACAAACTCCAACAAACTCATAACCTTTTAACTACCCAGTCCTATTCTCTTTTCCCCAATTTTAGTTTCTCATTTTTTGAAATTTATCATAGTAAAACAACCGAATTTTTCTTAAAGATATCTATAGCTATATTTACATATTAAAAAAATTAAGGTGAAATTTTTAAAATTCTCCTCAAATTCCTCTTTTTTTCTGTTGGTGAGTTTTCTTGCATTAGGCAAATTTACCAGTTTTATCACTTAATAGAAAAACTCACCTAAACAGTTTTAGATAAAAATTTACATAACATATGAGAATGTTTTCAAGCAGTTGCTCAAATTTTAAAGATTTTTAATTTACAAGTTTTAAATTTTCTCTCTGGTAACGCATACATATCCACTTCAATATCTTAATTTCTTTTTCGCCTCATCCGTCTGAGGCGGATGAGCCAGCGAAGCTATCTGAAAAGAAATGTGCAATGTGTTCCAAGCGTTGGTAAGCGGAATTAAAGTACAAAAGCTATAGTATTTAATAAGATAAGTACTAATAAGATAAGCTATAAGTACTAATAAGCTATAGTAAGACTTAGATCATGAAGTGATCAGAAAAAAAGTACCTGAGAAGAAAAGAGTCGGTAAGTGATGTTAGCGAGCAGTAGTGGATTTTTCTAGTAAATTAAAAGAAAAACTATTAATTCAAATTTATATTTAAACTATAAAAATTACTACATACTGTGAAATACTATATATTTTGTTACCTCAATTAGAGATTGTGTTTCAGTATGGAATTTTATAATGCTGATGAAACCATCATGCTTTCTTCTACAGCAATATGTTTCTTATTTTTTAAAATTTTTATTTTAAATAAAAAAACAATAAAATATAAATTGCATTTTATTTAGACCTGCTACGTTTCTTATACTTTTGGAAAAGGCAAAGATAAAAAAAAAAGCACGAAAAAAACATAAGAAGATAAGTAATTTTAGCTTAGAGAAATTTTAAGTGTAGTGAACCTAGTCTAGAAGACTAGTTAAAATGCGGATATTTTTGTGTTAGAAAAAAAGATTGTTCTTTATAAAATAAAATTATTCCTAGTTAAGTCCAAAGGATGGAAACATTTATAATCTTAATTATTCATAAATTTAGAATGTTTTAAATTTTTGTAAGGAATATTTTTGAAATACAAAACAGAAAGTAGAAATTCAAAATAATTTATGCATTTTTAAGAGTATGCTACGGACTTCTTAAAAAATAAACAATTCCTATCCACCTTTGGTGACCTTCTTGGTCCGATTTCAAAATTATCTCGTGCAACTTTTAATCTTCAATTGTTACGAAGCCAAATGCACAGCACAACCGCGTTCAAATATAAAAATTTTTCAACCCTTCCTCCAATCCTAGCACCTTAATTAATTTTGAACAATATATTAACTAAATTTTTCCTCCGTCTATCTGCTTCCATCTCTGTCTTGATATAATTTAGAAAGCTGATTACATTGCTCCATAACGTGCAGTACTACTTCCTCACGCACCTCTCGAGCCGTTACTTAAGTATCAAATAATATATGCACAAAAAGGCAAGCTCCATCACCAATAATATATATGCCAGTATTCGGCACCATAGCACTGTTTATGTTTGAAGCTTCTAAAGCCAATTTAGAAGGGATTAAAACTAAATCTAAATAATGACTTCATAACTGAGTTTTCACTTCAATAAAAACACAAAATTATTCTAGATAAATACTTAGCGCATAATTATCTATTCAACATCTATTAAATTACTATTTAAGACAACCTATCAAAATGAATCAAAATAAATACTTTAGATATAATTAATTTTTAACACTACTTAAATTATTACTTTAGACAACCTAACAAAATAAATGATTACTATAGTGTTGACAATAGATGGAAAAATACCCGAGTTTATGGTGTCATATAAGAGGAATGTATAAACTACCTCTTAATGAATAAACTTGCTAAAATTTAAAATATTAAATTTGTTTCAGGGATTTCGCATAGCTAAAATAAATTATTTTGTCTACGTAACAAATATAATTTTGAAGTAAAACATCAAAGTGTTTTAATAGCCTTCATTTTAGGGTTTGTTTAATTTCTGAGGGAAATAGAATTTTAAGTAAACGTGTCTTGTTAACGATTATTTCAGCATCCTCTTTAAACCTGTCTGCCTCACATTATTCCGCTTTCTGTAATTCTAAATAATCCTACGACACCGAATCTCTGTCTGGATATTCTTGTTAATCGTAAATAATTGATTCAGAAGTATTTTATGGGCAAAGAGATTAGAGATAGCTGGTGTGCACAAAATAGCCATCTTTACTTAATGAAAACTATTTTATGTGAAAATTACTTTTTGAAATATCTCATAAAAGAGTAAGACGTGAGCTTTGAAGATTTTGAATTGCATTTAGAGCGCGACTGTTTAAACAAATCATATAAGCTTAGTATTAGTGAAATATTTAAAACAATTACATAAGCGTGAATTGGGATTAAAATAATTTATTATAGCATTTAAGTCATTGTGCTTAATACACGGAAAAATTTCTAATGCCATTATAAGTGTTTTCTTGATAAGGATAAATATATTATTAATGAGAGAAAAACGGTTCATTATTTATAAATATTTAAATAAAAGCTTTATGGCTTCGAGTATAAGATTAATATATTACACTCGATAACAAAACTTTTGTTGTATTTATACATATAGTTGATCATGTCTGAATAGAAGTGGAGGTTTCAAGTCTAAAATTAAGTTTATGGCATTTTTAGTCTATTTTTTGTCAAACTGTATAAACTTAAAAATGCAATATATAACAAGGTGTAGCGTACAAAGTTCTAGGGAAACTAGGGCACATCATTCGTAATAAAATTGCATAGGAACTCACGCCCCGAAATGTCATCGTACGCGGATAGGGGTGCTTCGCTTTTGCAAATTCTTCAGAAGCACACGAAGGAACAGTTCATAATAAGGAAGCTCCTCTAGAGGCCAATTATGACATTTCCTAGCATGGAATGTTTTGCAGCTTTATTCCCGATGATGTGTCAAAACTCCAACTGAAGTTCGTTACAACATTTATGCGGATCAATGTTATATATAACGTTTTTGTTCCTTTCCACACAAAACTTAAAACAAAATTGAAAACTTCGACAAAAATGTCACTTAAAAAAACAGTAGCTTAAAGACAGATATCGTTTTCAGATTTGAAATCAGCGAAATGCAAGTATCTAAGATCTGTTATAAAATCTCATGCAACTGAAAAAAAAAACGTCTTCTATTGTTATTATTATTAATAAAATTTATGTCTTAAGATATAATTGTGATATTTATTATCACCTCCGTATTTTATATTTTTGTAATTATTAAGCTTTATTTTTTTACAAAAAAAGCATATGTACGGACTACCATGCTTGAGCTGTCTATGAATTATTCTTGCATAATGCATCATAGTCCACACACTAAAAAAGATTGGAAACTACTGATTTCAAGCATTCATCGCAACGTTTGTAATTTTCATGCATATAGCAGTTTCCAATTTATGTTTAGTGTAAATATTTAATTTATTTTTAATATTCTGAATAATTAACTATGAATGTTTCTTAAAGCCTTTCTCTTCATATTTTTTTCTCTTATTTCTTTAGATACAATATCGTTTTTCTTGTACTAACATATGCCCTTCCGATGGTTTGCATGGCAATTACGTATTCTTGGGTAGGATTAGTATTATGGGGAAGTCAAGTTATTGGAGAAAACTCGGATTTCCAAAATGATGTCATACGATCAAAACAAAGGGTAAGGTGCCTAATGCGTTTGAAATTTTCTGATTTGAATATTTATGCATTAACACTTGTACGTTTGAAATAAATTTTGCTTTAAAAATATAATTTTATAGTCCTTCTTAAAAATTGTAGTTCGCGAAAAAACAACTTGTTCCACAAACAGAGTGATTTTGTTTAGATTTCAAAGCTTTTCTTTTTCGAAAATACTTTAAAAGGTATAGATCATTGAAAAATATATTTAAAAATTAATATTTGCACACAAAAATTTTGCTTGCAGTTATTTTTTAGTATAGTAATTTTACCTCAACGTGAGGTAATTTTCGTTTAAAGATATAAATTTCTTTAAATAATTAGATCAAATTAACATTATCGTTTATTTATAAGAGTTATTCGAATTGACGTTTAAGAGTCATACAGTGCAGAAAAGAATATGCGTGTAAATTAAAATACATTTTCCGAAAAATTGGTTTAATAAGCTTGCATATTTGCTTTCATATTAACGTGCATATTTGCTGTCATATTAACATTCATATCTGATTAACGTTTATATCTGTATTAACTTGCATATTTGCTGCAATTTTAACAAATATAATCCTGGTTAAACTGAACAATAGTATTATGAAACTTAGTTTAAGACGAATTAACTTGCACAATAATATGCTTCATCTAAGCGAACTGTGGTATCACACAACTTGAATGATTATATAGCCCAAGCTACAACATTCCTATATAGCTGTATTTTCAGCCACATCCATAAAATAAATGTGTTTTAAACTTAATAGACACATTTAAACCACACGAGGCCAGAGGGGACCACACGAGGGCTAGAAATCAAATTAAACTATTCATGAATTATTTGTGTTGCATGGCTATAGCGATGCAGCTTCATCAGAATCAGTGCAATTAATTGCACTGTTTTTAACTTCCTTTTTTGGACGTTAATATAGATGTCTGAAAATTCAAACTTATGAAGAGTTTTTCAAACTCAGCTTTTTACATAAAATATTATTCTGTTTAGTGTTTTTACCACAAAATACAAAGGTCTGTTAAACCAGGAAATTTTTAGAGATACTAAACCTCGTAGAAACGATGACAAAACATTAATATTTTTAACTAAACACTAATGGGCGTCTATATCAAGATTTAATTTATAATTTCTGCTTACTGGAATTTGCGACAAATGAGCTAAGTTATTCCAAAATAAATAAAGTAACCTTAGTCTCCGGTAGGGAAACGAAATCAGACTAAAAATCTTTTAACTTGGTTCATTTGTTTGGTGTTTATCCGTTTCAGCGGGAAATTTAAAAAAACTATTTGCACAGTCCTTATAATAGTACATTAAGTTTCTTACGCCTACTAGATATTGTCACAGTGTGAATAGTATCTATTACAACCATAACAGTAGTACGTATTTTAACTGTCAGTGAATTATCACTGATGTCAATAATAGTGGAGAATTTTTGCAGCAATCCCTAAAATGGATTTTAAAAACGGATTAATTTGTACTAAACCGGAATTTTATCATTTAATCTGCAATCTAACTTAACAAAATAGTTCCGGTGTTCAACCCACTGAAATAAAGAGTCAAATTAGTTTAAACGTTATGATTATGAAAAAAAGCATTACTTTTTTCTTTATATGTACAGTATCAGGAAAAGATCGAGATGGGAAATAAATTGTAAAAACTCTTTAGAATGCATGTGTTATTCATATGATGAACATAGTACTTACACGTTAAATCAAAAAATAATTAGCAACAATAATATGTTACATTAAACTAGTCGAGATATTGAACGCGTTTACTTTAAATTTTGTGTTATACATATATAGTTTATTTTTCAATTGAATAAATGTTGGGGAGATATTTACAGGACGAGCTCTTTTCAATTATTTTTTTCTTGCACAGTACAGTCTAAGAAATGTTGGTGTTTAGTAGTCGTCATTTTTGGTGTTAAGGTAAGCTAAATACATTTATAAATACAGAACTGTAGTTATCGTTCAAAAACTTTTATAATAATGACAATATAGCGATTGTTTGAAACAATTGGTGCGGATATATTATTAAAAATGTGTGCTTGTTTTTAAACAAAATTTATTTTGTATGAAGCCAACAAATTGATTCTAAGGTGCAATAAATGTTGTCAGCAAACAAATAACTAAAAAATTATTAAATAAATAAAGAAAACTATAACAGCAAAAAAGTAAATAAAAAATATGACAACACACACACAGTAAAAAATTTTCGTTTACCTCAGTACCAAAAATGGTGATAACTAAGTACCAAAATTTTTTTACATTGTAAAAGCAACTGTTGATTATTTAGAAAATAGCATTAATGATTCAAAAGTAGATAATTACAATTTTAAATGAGTATGCTTCATAAGTTATGTAAGTAAACGATTATTTTGTTTTATATATTTTTGCACAGGTTGTTCACATGCTGGTGGCTATTGTTATACTTTTCGGAATATGCTGGCTTCCTTATCACGCATATTTTTTATATGTATACCATCACCAAGATGCACTTAGTTCTCAGTATATACAGCATGTTTATCTGGCAATATATTGGCTTGCCATGTCAAATTCCTGCTACAATCCTATTGTTTATTACTGGATGAACTCAAAGTAAGTTAAATGTATTATAACATTTAAATTCTTAAAACAAAATGTAAATTATTTTATTATAAATTTTATTATATAGAATATTAATTCATCATACTAAATTTTTTCTCAAAAATCACAATATTTAATTGTCTATGAAAAAATTTAAAGATATTAATTAATGTAACTATTAATGCAATTAAAAATCGATAATTTTGGAGCTGTGTCTCTATTTATCTAAATACAAAGTGCCTCGTAGACATTGGTGCAAACTTTGGAGGGGGATTTTCTATTATGAACATGCTAGCAGCCTTTGGTGACTTTCAAAATTCAAATCATATAAACTTTAAAGGTAAGCAAATTAAATGCAAAGCACAATCGTAATTAAATATTATAATTCTTTTATACCTCCCATCCAATCCTTAAAACTTAAATAGTTATTATTGTAACTTAAATAACTATTAACCAAATTTTTTCATTATCTAGCTGATGCTCTCATCTTTTCACACTTGTAGTATTTCGCTTTCAATTTAAACTATTTTTAAGAGATCGCGATATTATCAAAGTTCTCCATGCATTGAATTGTAGTAATAATTCAAATTCTGTTCAGTAGCCATTAAAGCAGAAAAACTAATATATGTCTGAGTTCGGGATATTTTAACGATGTAAGAAGAAGAGGTATTAAAATTATTTCTATTTTAATCATGAAATAAGATCGAAAGATCATCCCAATGCTCCTTTACATGTTTTACTACTTCCTCACACACCTGTCGAACCTTAACTTTGAATATCGTATACTATAATTATGCTATTGCTCCAAAAAAGCAAGTTCTGTCACAAATAATTGGTATTACTATATGCGTCACCATAACATTGCTTAATGCTCAAAATTTCTGTAGCCATTTTAGAAAGGATCGCAAACAAATCTAAATAATTACTTCATTACTAATTTTTTATTTCTATAAAAATACAAAATTATTCCAAATAAATACTTAACGTATGACTAACTATCCAACACTACTTAAATCATTATTTTAAAAAATCTAATAAAATAAACAATAACTGTAATGTTGCTAACAAAGAAATACCCGAGTTTAAGATGATGTTATAAGAGAAATAGATTATCCATGCGCCTTTAAAATCTAAAATAACTTAATTTCGTGTTAAGTCCACTTTTCAAGAAATAACTGTAGAAAACTGCATTTCAAATATATTAAGCATTAGCTGTTTTTATTAGTTGTTTTAGGTGTCTGATTTGGGGACAAATTTGACAATTTCACAAAATCAAATTACGATAAAATAGTACTAACCTATACTTATGAAATACTAACCTATTTGAATGAAATTTTCGACAATAATTATTAAAATACTTGGTCAAAGGCACAAGTAGAAAAAGTTCATAATCGAAAAAAGACCCTATCAGAGTATGATGACTTTTCCGGGCATTACTCGCTTTTCGTTAAAAGTGACTAATGTATAGTAATTCTGTAATTTATAAAGTCAAAATTGGACTAATTATTGGTTATGTTTTATCTCTAGATTTAGAGATTACTTCAGGACAGTCATGTGTTTACCACGAAGAGGTAAACACAGATAGTGGTTACCTCTATCTGTGTTATCACAGCCTCTATCTGTGCCCTCTATCTGTGTCCAATTATAAACACAGAGATAAAGCAAAAAATTAAGGAAATTTAGCTAGATAAAAATACTTGGTCAAAGGTATAAGTAGAAAAAGTTCATAATAGAAAAAAGTCCCTATCGGTGTAGGATGACTTTTCCGGTCATGGGTTGCATTACTCGTTTTTCTTTAGAAGTGGCTAATGTATAGTAATTCTGTAATTTATTAAGTCAAAATTGGACTAACTATTGGTTATGTTTTATCTCTAGATTTAGAGATTACTTCAGGACAGTCACGTGTTTACCACGAAGAGGTAAACACAGATAGTGTTTACCTCTATCTGTGTTAACACAGTCTCTATATGTGTCCAATTATAAACACAGAGATAATGCAGAAAATTAAGGAAATTTAGCTAGATAAAAATACTTGGTCAAAGGTATAAGTAGAAAAAGTTCATAATAGAAAAAATTCCCTATCGAAGTATGATGACTCTTCCGGCCATGGGTTGCATTACTCGTTTTTCTTTAGAAGTGGCTAATGTATAGTAATTCTGTCATTTATTAAGTCAAAATTGGACTAACTATTGGTTATGTTTTAACTCTAGATTTAAAGATTACTTCAGGACAGTCATGTGTTACCACGAAGAGGTAAACACAGATAGTGTTTACCTCTATCTGTGTTAACACAGCCTCTGTGTCCAATTATAAACACAGAGATAATGCAGAAAATTAAGGAAATTTAGCTAGATAAAAATACTTGGTCAAAGGTATAAGTAGAAAAAGTTCATAATAGAAAAAATTCCCTATCGAAGTATGATGACTCTTCCGGCCATGGGTTGCATTACTCATTTTTCTTTAGAAGTGGCTAATGTATAGTAATTCTGTAATTTATTAAGTCAAAATTGGACTAACTATTGGTTATGTTTTATCTCTAGATTTAGAGATTACTTCAGGACAGTCATGTGTTTACCACGAAGAGGTTTAAGAAGAGGATGGTGCAAACATCACCCAAAAGCACCAAAAACAACAACTTACACTTGTTCGACAAGGACGAGGTCCTGCCGGGTCACATTGCCGGTTCCAAGAACTCCTAACGGAGTGATAAATCCTCCACGATATGTCTGCAGTAGACTATAAGAAATAGTTACTGGAGATATTTTAAATTCACTTTATACTTTTTTCATATCTTCGCACATCGTTCGTAAATGTTAACTGTTTCATGACAAGTGGATTTTTTTGAATCCCTTTTTGATTATCTGTGATCTGACCAATATATTTGTGAACTTATCTTAAAACCACTTTTCATATTTCTAACTGTAAGTTATTTCATCAATTATGTTTGTAAATATGCATGTAAATAAATTCTAATTATCAAAACAATGTTCATGTTTTATCTATTATTAAAAATATAATCCAAACATGGGAATTCAAACATATATATATATATATATATATATATATATATACGACTAATTTACTGAGTCTATCTACAGCACCATTTGCATAAATCAAAATTTGTCTACAATCCAAATGTAATNTATATATATATATATAACCTTATTCTTACATGCTATTTTATTATGCCGTTAACGCTGTTTTATTCTCTCAGTTATTTATTCTAAGAATCCTTTTGACTCGTTGACTGTTGCTTCATAAAAGTTATAATGGAGGCACTTTCCCGCATTCGAGTAACAGCAAAAGTTGCCCTCGAGCAGTGTTCTCCTCATTCAGATAACAGCAAAAGTTGTCGTCGAGTAGCATCTACCTCTTTTGGGTAACAGCAATAGTTGCTATCGAGCCACGTCTCCCGCATTCAAATAACAGCAAAAGTTGGCATCGAGTTGCAGCTCTGCTATTAGGATAACAACAAACGTTGTCATCGAATTGCAGCTCTCGGATTCAGAAAACTGCAAAAGTTGTCATCGAATTGCATATCTCTCGCATTCAGATAACAGCAAAAGTTGTCATAGAGTTTCAGCTCTTGCATTAGGATAACATCAAAATTTATCATATCAATGTCCCGTATTTTAGTGACGGATCATTTGACTGCATCGGTAATAATTTCACAAATATTCTATAAATGTCATAATACTATTAAATTATTATAAAATGGTGTATTCAAAACTTTATTCAGGACATAAAACTTTATAGCAATCTATACAACTCTGAGGTTGAACAGGGCATTTGGTACAAAATAATTTTGTTTTTCTCGGATTTCCCAATGTCTTTGTTTGTTTCCTTTTACAATGTTTAACTGAATAGCATGATTTGCATGTGTATTTAATCATTTGTTGACTTGTTTGCATTTACAAACATTCTTGATAATTTTACAATTTTCAAAACTCTACATCTAATGCTCACCATCTTCAATTGTGGATTGTGGACATCTAATGTTTATAATATTACAATAGCAAATTTATAAGGCACCAAAGCGTTTAGGTGTAGATGGTGGATATCAAATTTTCGGTGCCATCTGATTCATTTTCTAATACTCGGGGCATAAATAACGACTTCGTTTGAATAATATTTGCCACACTTTCCCTTATTATATTCTAAAATTAACAGATCTGAGCCAGCAATGCATGCTTCGTACTGCAGTACATGTGGCCTTATAGAATATGTTAAACTACTCTTTTTCTTTTTATTTAATAAATTACAATTCTAAGTTTAATTTTCCAAAAAAATTTAAATTACTATGTGTTCTATTTAATTTGTTGTGGTAAAGTATGTTTTAAGAAAAACTCAAAGGTACAGAGGGAAGAAACATAGCAGATTATATTTTCTTAGGTTATGTTAAGGTGTTCTCAGGTAATATTAAGGTGTTATATTTTTTTCCCACCTAACGTTTACTCGCTTTCATAATTTTATAATTAAAATCTTTATAATTTTAGAATAAAATTAATATTACATTACAGTGATATCAGCACCAAGTGAAAAACAAAAATAAAATGTTAATGCGTATTTGGAGCTAGGGGACTGAAAGTTCAAAGAGAAATCTTAATTTTTTTTAAAAATATTTTTTTGCGAAACATATTATTTTCTTGTTTAAGAGGAAACCGTAAAGTTTTTTAAAAATTGAAAAAAATAGCATTTTTCGATAGTTTATCCTTATAAGATATATTACCTATATATTGACTTGATTTTTTTAAGAATGCAAAAGTTACAGCATAATATGTCGAGCAAGGAGAGCGGAGTTGAGCACGCAGTAACACGCATGAACAAGTAAACTTTCGCGCTCAGTTGATTCATGGATTTGCTCACTCATGTTAAAACATTTTAGAGCAATAAAGAGCATTATACTGCAATATAGAGCAATATGGGGCATTATAGAGCAATATAGAGCATTTTAACTTTTTTATTGAAGCAATTTGTTTAAATTATGCCAGAAACAGAATTAATGATACTTTCGATATTAATAGTTGACATTGTAATTTATTTAGCTGTAATAATATTTAATGAAAGTGGTTATTGTGAGTTTTGGAACAATTTGAAATAAATTTTGGCCCAACAGCCTATAAATAAGCTCAAAATAAAGATGGCAGCATAAATTCGGCTGTTGTATGAGGATAGATTTACAAGAAAAAGAGCTAGACTTAAGACTACCAAAAATTATGGAGAAGATACTTTTTTATGAACTTGGTATTGATGCATTATTGTTAGTTGCGACTTTTTTTAGTTTTTTGTGTTTATATAGATTATTGATCACAATCTTTGAAAAGAATTTACACGGAACTATGTTTTTCTGACTTGGTTTTCTCTTCAACCTTTTAGTTTCAAATTCACTAATCTTCTACGAATTTACTTGCTTCATATGGCACAATATTCACAATAAATTTAGTTCTCTTTGCACGTAGGAATTTTTTAATTGAGTTGACAGGTTTTACGTGTGAAAGGACAGTTTTGCCTATTTTAAGTCTCTTTTTGTTACGTTTTTAAACACCACTATTTTGAGAAAAAAAATATTTTTTACAAATCGTACGTTTCAATTAAAGCTACATTTGTGGCAACCACATCGTCAAGCAGCCACAGCGCCATCTGAACAGGCAGTAGATGCTCAGACTTTGAACAGAATGAACCTTCTTTTTTTCTCCTTCTCTTAATTATTCAAATTTATATTTGTCCGTGTGCTATATGTAATTAATAAAAATATTTGGCACTAAACTTTTCTGTATTTAAGCCCCCAAGATCTAGCTAGGGCCATACATTTATGTAATTTGAAATAATTTAAACGGAATCGAATCTGGATGAATTTTTTTTGTTGACTTATGAGTATCACAAAATACAGATAATTCAAAAAATAAGTTTTACAGTGTTTTCACTACAGCGCGAGAACGCGAGAATCTCGCATATTTTTTTATATTCTCGCATTAAAAAATTATTAACGCGAGAAATTCGCGCATTCTATAAACCAATTTCAAAATTCGTGAATTTCTCGCATTTTGAAAAAAAATTCTCATTTGCACCATTTAGAATAAAATCCGTTTCACTTTTCTTCCTGGATCTTTTATTATTTTCAACATCTGCCCCATTATCTAGCTTCCCTATTTACCAGTATTGTTCAGAACCTTTAAGAACAACAGAACACCATCCTTCGGAACCACGGAACCTCTTTCAGAACGCATTTCTTTCTTCTTCTTTACTGTAGGTAAGGTTTCTTCATGTAAGATGTTCAAACTTTTTGCTCGTTAATGTAAGATGGACAAATGTAAACCTTGAAAGCCAATATCTTCTACTCCGAAACGGACTAATGAAAATGAAACATATGTGGGTAGAAACGATCAAATCGAAACAAATACGCATTTGAACAACCTAATGAGAATAGCTGATGAAAAAAGTAGATGTAGAACATTTTCCATATGATGATGCAGCAAAAATATTCAATGCTTTAAAAATTAGAAGATGTTAAAAATGCATTATAATTAAAGAAATGATTTTTTTCCAAGTCTCTTGGTGTTTTTTTTTTTCTTTTTAATTTTTGAAACCTCACTTAACTTTTTGAAATCCCACCCTGTTTTTGAGAAAGGGTGAGAAATTCTCACCCATTTTTTTCTGAGATGAAAATATCAACACATTTTTGTATTTGCAACATGGAAAAAAGAAGATTAAAATACGCACAATATGATAAGAAAAAGAATTATTGAAATTAAGTTTGTCACAGTCATTGTAAAATTTAATAAAAATTCCCTCTTTCTTACAAGCTTTTGCTGTGTTTTCTCCTTAAATGTTTACCATTAATTTATTTTTTTAATATAATTGCACTTCGGAGATTTCTGTGAATGAAGGTACTAAGGGAGTGTCTTTAGTGGATTTAGAATGCAGGAAGATAAAAAGTACCTTTCACGGTGAGCAGTTAATGGATAATCATTAAAACCTGTTTTTAGAAGCGATTTAAAACGCAAGAGGAACTGCAATGGCGCAAACAGTGTAAATGAGTCTTAAAAATTTATAGATTTTGCCATTTAAAAGCTTGTTGAGAAAAAATAAAGGCAAGTCATTAAATTTTGATTTTCTATTGGTAAATTATAAACTTTAGTTCTGATTTACTAGAATTCATTAAAAGATCACTTGTAACATCTCGTCTCTAAGTGAGGGGGCTCAGGTTCGAATTCCAATTTTGGCCTGGCTGATACGAATACTACCACAGTGCTGGTGATAAATATCCTCAGTGGTGAACGTATCATGGGTTAGAATGGTCTAACCGTGGGAGGTTTTGGGTTTTTTCTTCTCATAGTAAAGCAAATATGTGGGATAGTTCTATCAAAAAGTCCTCCACAAAGGTTAGTCTCCTCCAAGGCTTTATCCCGGAGTACCCTTGTCTTCTGGGTTGAGTTTCAAATTGCGAGGGTAAGGAGTAGAGCATTGATAGCCGTAAACTCAGAATTGGGTTCGCCAGTTATAAAATAAAATAAAATATATAAC